TGGCTAGCTGTAGCTAGCTGTGGTAGCTAGCTGTGGTAGCTAGCTGCAGTAGCTAGCTGTAGTAGCTAGCTGTGAGCTGTGGTGGTGTTTGTTTTTGGTGTACTGGGGGCTGTTGGTATGTATTAAAATAAAAAGAAATAAAAGAAAGAAAAAGAAAAAGATAAAAAGAAAAGAGAAAAAAAGAAAAAGAAAGAAAAGAAAAAGAAGAAAAGGGAGAGAAGTGTGTATCTACCTTTTGCTTTTATTTATTTATTTATTTATTTAAATAACGTTTATTTATAAATAAATATAAATTGTTTCGAGCAGTAAACAGAGACAGATACAGCACACCGAGGGTTTAGGGTTTAGGGTTTAGGGTTTAGGGTTTAGGGTTTAGGGTTTAGGGTTTGGGGTGACCAGTGGTCTGGTGCGGTAGAGAGTGTACTACAGAGAAAAAGAGAAAAAAAAAGAATAAATTTATTTTTTTTTTATAATAAAAACAAAAATAAATTAAAAAAACAAAGAAAACACAAACAAATAAACAATATAATTACTCTCTTCTATACATACAAAAGCAGCAGCAGCAGCAGCAGCAGCAGCAAGAGCACCAGCAGCAACAGCAGCAGCAACAGCAGCAGCAGCAGCAACAGCAGCAATATGCATGTATGGGGTATCAAACGGGTCCCCTTTTCGCATATTTTAATGTTTTATTGCATTACACAAACAAAATAAACAAATAAAACAAATAAAAACACAAAAACAGAAAAAAAAAAGAAAAAAAACAGCAGCTGGCTGCTGGCGGGTGGGTGCTTGCGGGGGGAGGGGGGGGCTAGAGCCAGTGCTGGGACCAGAGCGGTATTCTGCGTATTTTTGGGTTTTTTTATTGAAAAAAAGCGAAATATATAAATAAAAAAGAAATAAATTAATATTTTTATTGTAATTAGCGAAAAAAAGGAGAAAAAAGAGGCCAGATGAGCACCAGAACCATCGACGAGACAGCAGCAGAGCTGCTGCTGCTGAGTAGGCATAGGAGGTATGTATTTATAGATAAAAAAGAAAATAAATAAATAAAATAAAAAAGAAAAATAAAATATTTATATTTTTATTCTTTTTTTTAATGAAAAAGCAATAAAATATATTTAAATATGCAGCAAAAGGATACACGAGCGGCACCCTGAGGGTGCTGCTGCAGCAATCGAGACAGCTGCAGCAGCGCACCGCAGCAGCAGCAGCAGCAGCAGCAGCAACAGCAGCAGCAGCAGCAGCAGCAGCAGCAGTTGTTCGTTTGTCTGTCTGTAGTTTGCTTTGTTTTTCCTTCTTTTGGGGTTTCTTTAGCTTCCTTTATATTTCATATAAATTCAATCATTACCTGTTAGTAGAGTGC